ATATAAATATCTTATTACACTGTTATTATTACATTGTTATTGAGTTCGAATATTAATATAATTTAAAAACAAAACTATTTAAAAAAAAATATGCATGAATCAAGGTGCATTAAATATAATTTGAAAGTAAAATTACTTTCTTAAAAAAATATGCATGAATCAAGAGAGGAAATAAAAATATGGAATATTAAAGTTTTCTCATAAAAGTGAAAGATGTTTAATTCATCACTTTCTAAAAAAATACGCGTAGATCAAGGGAGGATAAAAAGGTTTGAAGAAAATATGAAAATTTCAAATAATGTAGTTGGAAACAAATAAGTATCAAAATTAAAGACTTTTTTACCTTACATTTTTTTTTGTGTATTTTTTTTACAATTAACTCCAATTTAGTGTATCATCTTCTAATTTTCCCTATTTAATATTTGGATTGGGCTATGGGCCTAAATGATTGATTGAATTTATATTTTTATAAGACTTTTTTTACATTAGTTATTTATAGTATTCAAAAATTTGGAGCCTTTCTTTGAAATGGAGCCTAAAACCCAAGTTTTTTTAAATATGCTGTTGGGTCGGCCCTAGTCTCATCTAAATTTTTTGTTATATTATTTTTGTTGCTAATAACAAATTTATCAAGAGATCTTTTTGACATTCTATTAGTTGGTCCATTTTTTTATTTTTTTTTTTTTGTATCCACTTAGTTGTCTTCTAGGTGCCATATTATTAATATATTATTACTATATAATAACCAAACAAACACAATATACAGTATAGTTAAAATATATAACAAAAAAATTTAAAATTATAAAACAATAGAACCTTGAATGATCTAAAATGTTGGCTTTTGGTTCTAAACCATGTCCCTTATGTTGCAATGAAAACTTGAGTCGATGATGGAGGATGAAGACTGTCTTACCGTCACCGAGTCATTATCTCATTGAGAGTTACCATTAGTATGTTACTGTGAGTCTGTTAGTTGAGAGCACTGTGTGAGAGAGAGAGAAGAAGAAGAAGAATAGTCTTTTTGGTTTTAGTTTAATGAGAGAGAGAGAAAAAAAAGATTGCTTTTGTGTTAGTTTATTGAGAGAGAGAGGGGGGAAGAAGAAGAAGAGTTTTTTTGGTTTTAGTTTAATGAGAGAGAGAAAGAAAAAAAAGATTGCTTTTGTGTTGGTTTACCGAGAGAGAGAGAGAGAGAGATAAAAGTAAGGTAATGATTTGTTTTTTTTGATTTTTTTTTAATTTGATGTGACTTTTGAGTTCAGGTTTTTTCTTTTATTGTTATTTTTTTTATATTTTAATAGGGTCGTTTGGAAAATGTTACACTAATTTAGACATAATTGTAAAAAAATATACAAAATAAAATATTTTTGAAAAAAATACACAACTGAGATACAAAGACGTAAATGTCTATTTTATAAAATTTTATTTTCTAAAAACTGTAACAAGACATTTATCTTAAGCGTTAAAATTTAGGGTTATTTAATTCGAAATTTCTAATACACCTTGATTCATGCATATTTTTTTTTTGGTAAGTGATTTTTGTTTTTAAATTATATTTATGCATTAAATATCTCATAGTTTTATGAGAGAACTTTAATATTCCTTTTATTTTAGGATATATCATTTTATTTGGATTTCAAAATTTGTTAATTACTTTTTTATATAATTAGAAATATAAAATTATTTACACCGTAACAAAAACGTAACAAATTCATTAAGCAATATCGTAACAATACAATATAACAAAGACAGTGTAACAAAACACTGTAATAAAAACAGTATTAAGTGATTTTGTGCATGTGGTAACAAATTCAAAACAGAGATGAACTATTTTGAATGAAATTATATGAAAATATATGTTTGACAAAATGTAATAGTACAATATTTTGTATAAATGTCTTGTTATACTGTTATTGTTACATTGCTATTACTATACTGTTATGAAGTCTGAATATTAGTATAATTTGAAAACAAAACCATTTTTTTAAAAATAGTCATAAATTAAGGTGCATTAAATATAATTTGAAAACAAAATCACTTTTCAAAAAAAAAAAAAACGTATGAATCAAGGGAGGACATAAAAATACAGAATATTAAAGTTCTCCCACAAAACTAGGGATGACAGTGGACCGGAGAAATATGAGTATTCGTCCAAACCCGTCCCGTTTGGACCGGGGATGGACGATACGTATTGGACGACGGTCGTATAAGGGGATACCCGTATAAACCCGTGCGGAGATGAAGGCGGGGATAGACTTACCCCTACCCCCGCCCCATCCCCGTCCCCATCCCCGTCCTCGTCCCCGTTACCTGTTACCCGTTATTATATACATATATATATATATTAGTATGACATTATTAGCTACATCCGTAAATCTTGTATTAACAATTTTATAATTTAAAGTTAAAGTTAGCATTAATAGTTCTTGTTTCACCGTAGTATAATTTAAAGTTAGCATTAACAGTTGTGGTAATTCTATTTAACTATGAAAATATTGTTCATTGTTCTTCGAGTTTTTTGTTTGTTATATATAATGTTGTTGGATTATTTAAAATGTTGGATTATGTTGGCTTGAATTTGGGTTTAGGCTTATGCTTGGGCTTGGGCGGGTACGAGGGAAGCGAGGACGGGGATGGGGATTATAAATTTACCCGTGGACGGGGATGAGGATGAAAATTATACCCGCTAGCGGGGATGGACCGAGGATGGACGAAGATTTTTTAAGTGGGTACGGGATGAAGACTATACCCCCGCCCCCGCTTCGATCCATTGACATCTCTACACAAAACTAGGAGATGTTTAATGCATCACTTTTAAAAAAAAAAATACGCATAAATCAAGGGAGGATATAAATGTCAGAAGAAAATATGAAAATTTCAAATAATGTATTTAGAAGCAAATAAGTATCAAAATTAAAGACTTTTTTAACTTATATTTTTTTTTTGTGTATTTTTTTACAATTAACTCTAATTTGGTGTACCCCTTATAATTTTTCCTATTTAATATTTGGATTGGACTATGAGCCTAAATGATTGATTGAATTTATATTTTTATAAGACTTTTTTACATGAGTTATTTATAGTATTTAAGAATTTGGAACATTCCTTTGAAACGGGCCTAAAGCTTTATATTTTTTTAAATATGCTGTTGGGCCGGCCCTGGTCTCATTTTCCCTTTCCACAGGAAATTGAACTTATCATATAATCCATGTTACCGTGCATTTTTTTCTGGGTTAATTGTAAGTTATATTCTGAAAGATAGTTTGAATATTAATTTAGATCCCTAAAAATAAAAAATTTTAATTTATACTTTCAAAGATAGAAATTTATATCAATGTGCACTCCCAAATATAAAAAATTTCAATTTGCTCCCTCAAAAATAGAAATTTGTATCAATGTGCACCCTCAAAGATAAAAAATCTCAATTTGCACCCTCAAAGATAGAAATTTGTATCAATGTGCACCTAAAATTAAATTGATAAATTATACCTAGATCCCCTCGTGCTTGTCACTTAATCATTTAAACCCCTTCACATTTAAAATAATACTCATACATCTCATGATGTTTGTGCACGTGTAACATGTAACCCCTTTTTGTTGATGTCTATTAAAAAATATGATTTTATCCTAATACAAAATTATAATTTCAGATTACCCTTTATTTTGTGAGTCTGATATACTCTAAAGTTCAAAATCAAGCTTACCATTTGAATGTCCAATAGAATGTATATATTTATATTATATTTTTATATCCAATGCAATATATCACTCAATGTGCAACTCTTTATTCTATTAGATATTCAAATGGTAAACTTGATTTTGAACTTTAGAGTATATTGGACTCATAAAATAAATGGTAATATGAAATTATAATTTTTATTAGAATAAAATTATATTTTTTAACGGTTATATTTACATATATTAACGAAAAGGAGTTACGTGTTATACATGCACAAACGTCTTGAGATGTAGGAGTAATATTTTAAATGTGAAGGGGTCCAAATGATTAAGTGACAAGCATAAGAGAATTTATGTATAATTTATCAATTTAGTTTTATGTGCACATTGATATAAATTTTTATCTTTGAGGGTGTAAATTGAGATTTTTGATTTTTAGGGGTGCACATTGATACAAAATTCTATATTTGAGGGTGCAAATTGAGATTTTTGATATTTGAGAGTGCACTTTGATACAAATTTCTATCTTTGAGGATACAAATTAAAATTTTTGATCTTTAATGGTACAAATTAAAATTATAACGATCTTTCAAGGTACAATTTACAGTTAACCCTTTCTTTCTTCCTGACTTTGCGCTTGTTTTGTTGATAGGTCTTGTTAAAAATGAATTACCGATGACGGTATCAGCTAACTGTTAACTATACAATAAAAAAGTGAGAGAGAAGAATATAACCAAACATAGCCATAATGTCCAAGTATGTAAATTCAAAACTCCAACTATCGGATTTTTGTTAATTGCCTTGCGGACTTTATATACCTTTTTTTTTTAATTATTATTATTATTTATTTATTTTTTTGGGTAGGGATAGGAGTAAGGGGAGAGAAAGAGGGAAGAGAGTTTGAACCTTTGACCTCACAAAAACAAAATTGTTACAAGGCAAGGAATACCGTTGGACCAAAGGTTCATTGATAATACATAATAATCGGTAATAAAAACACATGAATTTGAAGTAAAACTGAATTTCTTCAGGTATGTACAGTTTGCTTTCCTTTGTTTTCTCTCTCTCTCTTCTCTCAAGTTTTATTTTTCTTGGATAGCTGTTAGATTCAGTTTCTCTCATGGCAAAACTGGTATGTGCTGATAGTTTCTTTCTTCATCATTGTTTCTTAATAGAGTAGAAACCTCTTTCTAAAAGTATCCTCTGTCTTCTTTCATAACGATCTATGTATATCTGACTATGGAATGGCTTTTTGGCATGACTTAAGGGTGTGATATAAGACATATTGGTCGTGACATCGCGGCTCAGTTTCAGGAGCTCTTTCTCTATGCCTTGAGAGATAATCTGATAGGCAAACCATTCTGGGGAAGAGCAAAAGGGCCATACTGAATCCCATTCTGTGAGCCCACCATCGACCATCTGCACATGAAAATAAACAAAGCCTTATGCGGAGACTACATTGTGCATTCTATTTTTAAGAAATTCTTTTAACAACTTGTTAAAAAGTTGATAGATAAGTCTATCCACGTTTCGGTTTCAGGATGATACTAAAAAATAATTTTCAATCATAAATCTTCTTTTATCTAAATAATAAAATTTTATACGTGTCATTTTATATTTAATAAAAAAAATAGATATAAAACGGAAAAAAAGTCTATTATTTGAGATGAGATTCAACCAACCTGTACTTTGTGGTCAGATGATGTACCAGAACCAAAATCTCCAGTTTTGCGAACTCATTCCCTGGACATGAGTGGGTCCCATTGCCAAATGGCATGAATGTATTGGGTTTTGGAGCTAACTGTTCCATCATACAAAAAAGATTGCATTTCAGATCATGGGAATTATGAAAAATAAATCAATCAAAAAAATACTAAATAAGCCTATGAATTTTACCTCAAATCTTGAGGGATCAAACTTCTCAGGCTCTGGAAAATGATCTGGGCTATGGTGAATGTTCCTAAAGAGTGGCAATACTTTCCACCCTTTGGGTATGTGATACCCTGAAATTAATGTAGATAATAAAATATCAGCATTAAAACCCTAAATATAATAAGAAAGAGTAATATTACATGAACTTAAAAAGTAGACTTAAAAACTAGATTTTATAATCTTAACCATTGATTTCACTGCGGGTCCCAGCATTTATTGGGACCCACTACTTATCAAAAAAACAATATTTTAAAACTCTTTTCAAAAACAGTTTTCGAATACTGATTTTTGAGATATAAATTAAATAAGAACTATAATTTTGTCTGATTTTGGGTTAACTAACCTTCAAATTCAACATCTTCCACTGCCTCTCTGAAAGTAAAAGATAAGATTGAAGCTACTCTGAGCGTCTCTTGAATCACCCTTGAAGTTAATGTCATTTTCTTGGTATCTGCCCAAGTTAGAACCTTCTCTTCACCACGCTCCTCTTTTGCTCTCATTATGGCCTCTTGTTCTTCCTGTGAAGTGAAAAACCAGAACACAGTTGTAATCAATTGAACTAAAATATAAAAAGAAATTAAGATTTATTCGAAGGGTAAGAACTCGGAACTGGAGTCCTTACAGTAACAGCTTGTAGAACACTTGGATTTTCAGCTAAGTACTTGAGGATCCAAGTTAGGACACTGGCTGTGGTGTCACGGGCCGCGAAGATGACACCGATGATGTTATCGGCAATTTGCTCGTCTGTTAGTCCTTTGCCACCCATGAAAGCTCCAAGCAAATCATTGTGATCGTGTTTCTTTTCCCTCCTAAGTGAGATGATTTTGGCCAAGATTTGAGCTAGCTCCTTTCTTGCTTTCATGGACTTGTTGAAGAGTGTCCCAGGAAGGTTAATGGGCATTGAATTGTACCCCTTCTCGAGAATGTAGTAGCACCTCTTGAGATCTTCTCTGTAGTGCACTTCATCCTTTCCAAATATGGAAAGTAATGCAACATTGAATGTGTACTGCAAAATTCATATATTTATGCCATCAAATCAGTAACCTCTTAGTACTTGATTTGAAGTTCTAAGAAAAAAAAGTTGACCATTCAATGGAACTTAAGGAGAGAGAGAGAGAAAAACAGAGGACTCTGTTTCCCCTTCTTTGCTCTGTTTTGAGAGATTTTGAATGTGAAACAGAGAGATGATAAAAACAGAGGACCCTGTTTCCTCTGCTTTGCTCTGTTTTGAGTGACAGAAAGTAGAATTGGGGTGACTTACTGTCTTCATTTCTTGGTAAGTGGTGATCAACCGTCCCTCCCATGATTGCAAAGAGTTCATAGCAATTGATTCGATATCAGACACGATGTTTTTGATTCCTTCTGGCATGAATGCTCGCAGGACTAGCTTCCTCAACTTGGTGTGATACTCTCCTTGGTGAAAGAAAATTGCTTGTTTGCCCAACATCCTCTCTTTACTAGCCGGAAATGTAGGTTTGAACAGATTAGTCTTTGTCACAAGCACTAGTTTTGCAGCCTCCGGGCTCGAAATCATCACACAAGGACAGCCCAATATGTGAGTTTTGAATATAGAACCAAACCTGCCAAACCCAAGAACACCACCCATTTTCAATAACCTTCACAAAATATGAAGAAAAAAGTTGACAACGAAGAAAACAAGATAGAAGAATTAGTACTAACTTTTTCACTTTGAAGGCAAAGAAGACATTTGGGTTTTGTGAGTAGAGTTGAAAGGTTTCGCCAATGTATGGCCAGCCCATTGAGCCAGGTGGAAGAGGCAGTTTCCGGTGGCCGGAGGCGAAGAGTTTAAGCAGACAGTGGAGGAGAAAGAGGGAGAGAATGAGAGCGCATATGCAAAACATTGATGTCAATTCCATGTTACATGAAATGGTACTCAAATGTAAACGCTACGCTTCCAATTCCATCAACATTTATGGTGAAAATGGATTTGGGGTGGCTCTCGTCTGAGTGCTTGAGAATGAGGGGTGTTGGTCTTGTTTAGGTGAAGAGAAGTGAACAAAGAGGGGTATATATAGGTAAGAGTAGGCAAAATGAGTCCTTTCCATTACAGCTTGAATCTCACACACGGAATCTCCTTCCAGCTCATGTTTTTGGAAGTGGAGAGAGAGTGGCACGTCTGAGTTTATATTTATATCTATATTACTAATACAAATATTTTACGTGAAAAATTTTTAATTTATTATTTTACCCTTATAAAAAATTATAAAGGTTAACTTATCATTTTATATTTAAATATGCAAATTATTATTATATCCTTCTATATTCAAATAACAAATTAATCTCTAACATATCATATGAATTTCTATATTTGTAAAACTTTTAGATGATCATGTTACTCTTAATAAGATATATAAAAACGTAATTTTTTTTTAGAACCTCAATATTAATACACATCAAAACTTCATTCATACAATATTATCTCTAGAGCCAAAAATCGATATATGTATTTTTTTTTATTTACAATACAAATAATTTAAATATAATAAATATGAGATAATATATAATTTAATTATATAATTAAATTTTTATGTATATTATCAAATATTTTAACAAAAATTTTCACGTCCAACGCATCTGGTGTCTAAAAATAGACCTCCCTCCGGCTCATGTTATTGGAAGTGAAGAGAAAGAGAGAGAGTGGCACATGTGAGGTTATGTGTCCAAAAATGGCGTGTGGGGGAGAGGCGGAGTTAGTTGACCGTGACTGGCATGAGTGATCATGACAGAGGTGTTAGATAACGTCCCCTTTAGCTACAAAAAGGGTGAGACAGGCACATAGGGGATGAATTTGCTATTCGTACCTTTCATGAAAGTTTCCACAATTTTTCTATAGTCGAATTTCGTTCTAATCACGTATTTTTTCAATTAATGATTATATTATATACATTTGAAATATACAATTACTCATAACCCACACTTATTACGTATATTTCTTGAAAGATTAAAAAATAAAAAATCCGAGATATTAATTATTAAAATCGTGTCATCCAAACGACCACACAAATTAACTTTTAATTTTTTCTTTCATAATATTTCAGCTGCCCTCAATTATTTACATATATATATATATATATATATATATATATATATATATCGAGATTAGACCAATAGAAGCTGAACAGCTAAACTTCGACTCACTCATAGCAATAGGTTTGTTTTGAATTTGAACCACCAGATTGAAGTATCCCACTAGTCAAAAACTTTTTATTTCAAATGTTTCCCAAAATTGAATGTGCTTGCAACTACTACCACAAGAAAGTCACCTTCTCTTCACTTAGTCATTATCTACCAATTTTTTCATTCTATTTATAGAATGTATTCTAATATACGCTTTCAAAAACGGGTTAGAGTTGCGTTAAGTTTTTCTATCCTCTTGTTAGTCTATTTTTAAATGCGACTTTTCTAGTCAAATGAAAACACATCATTGACAAATGGGTTAGCTTAGAGACAGCTTTTTCCAAACTTTTATTAAGTTATTTTGTATTTAAAAAGAATCATATAATAAACGTAACGAAATTTTAAAAAACATAATTAGATTCACCATTCCAAGATTTATTCATATTTAATATAAATCGAGAAATCTTAAATCTATAGAGAAGATTAAGGGTTACCCCTTGAAATGTGTTTTTAACAATCTTCAAAATTTCTCAAAAATTTTGAATCATCAAATCTTAATTTGATCGTTACCCGAAGCCTCACAATGGTTTGGTCTTTATCGGTATCCACACGACTTGAAAGATCTTCATCAACTTTTGATAAACTAGTAGAGAAAGAGAACGTTGGATGAAATGTTCTTGTGTTAGTAAGAGAGACTTGTTATCTTCGCCTCCTATATAAAGGTACTAGTTATTTCTCATACGGAAAAAAAATTGTCAAACATAAACATATTTGTATTCACATTCGAAATCAAATTACAAATATAGAAAAAAGAGAAATGAATTTAATCACCGGGTGTAGTGGGCGGTGACGACGGTGGTGGTGGTGGTAGTGCCATATATGGGTGATGGCGGTGGCGGTGGTAATGATGGGATGAATGGCGATGGCAGTGGTGGTGGGTGATGACGATGGTGATGGATGATGATTGGTGCTTGTGGGTGACAGTGTTGGTGGTAGGTGTAGTGATGGTGGATGTGTGGATGGTAATGATGGTAGGCGATGTTAGATAGTGATGGTAGACGATGTCAGATAGTGATGGTAGGTATGGTAGGGGTGGGTGACAGTGGGTGGTGGTTAGTTGTGGTGGGTGATGGCAGTGAGTGATGGCAATGAGCGACAATGGGGAATGATGGTGGTGATAGTTGGTGATAGTGGTGGTGGGATGATGGTGGTAGTGGTAATAAATATAAGAATGAGATGATGATGGTGGCGGGTGATGGCGGCGACAATAGCGATTGGTGGTGGGTGACTATGGTAGTGGTGGTGGTGGCGATGACAATGCTGATAGTGATGGGTGGGGGCGACAGTGGTTTTTTACTTACTTATTTAAGTGTTAAAACTACTTTTAACTTATTTGGAAGTAATTAAATAAGTTGATCTAAATACTACTTGTTTTAAAAGTGTTTATGAGAAGTCATAAGTCCTAAAAACACTTTTAAAAAATTATCTCAAACACACCCTTAGGGACTTGTTTTTCCTATTAAATTTGGGGAGTTAATATTAACCGTCGAATTAATTTTAAAGTAAAATTTAAAATAATCTTAACTGCAAAAAGTAAAAATAATTTTGTTTATCTTTGGAGATTTGAACTGTATTGTACTTTATTATATAGATTTATAGTATCTTAGAAAACTTTATTTCTAATTTTGGTCTAGATGCAATTATCTCATAATTGTATATAACCCTTTTATTAACATTAATTGTAATAAAGTCTCTAATTAATTCTTTATTAGGTTTTCACCTCAATTACTGTTAATTGATTTTTTTCTTTTTTTATCCTTTAATTTACAATCAATGCTATTGTGTGACTCTATAGGTTCAAGCATACTCCGTTGTAGGCATTCGATACTAACTACAAGTAACATCTCAAATAATAGTTTTTTCTAATTTACCTTGAATTAGAATTGTTTTAATTCTCCCTTTATAAAGAACAATTAATATATTTATATTAATTTTATTTTTTGAGTTTCTACTAATCATGAGTGACACTTAATAACATATCATGATCAAGTTCTGGATAACATGAAGTACGTAAAGAATACATTCAGTTGGTAGTTGTCATGCATTCAATTCTCTATCACACAATGCCCCAATTGAATTATTAGGATATGAAATTACTGTCAAACTCATAACTCAACTTTATGTGTTCAATCTTAGAACTATGACTCTTACTGATTAATTAGAAACTTTTCTAACTAAATGTCATTCTGTTTTGGCCAATGATTCCTTGATTTATATCCCAAAAGATCACATATGACATTTTCCTTTTATTTAATAAGGGTGATAGATTTCATGTTATACACTTATAAGTCTTTATTTATGTTTCACTGTGTCTAACGATACATATCCAAGTTATATAGTTAGTATATAAATATATTGTATAGTTAAAGTATAGAAGTCCATGAATAAGCCAATCATGGTGTCTCAAGTCTAAGGTTCGGTTGCATAACTGTAATTTTATGATTTAACATTGACAGATATGTAAAATTCCATATAAAAAATTTTACGTTAGTCAATGGTCACGTTCAGTGTACTTATTTTCTAACAAACACCCACATACTTGCTTTAGAGTCTCTACACTAGTGACTTAGACGAGTTACCTCATATCAAATATGAGCAAATATAGTATATTCTAGCCTAGCTGGATTACATATTGCCCATACAATAATCTTATGATTAAGAAAATTTAAGAGTTAAATACTAAAAAATATAGGTTTCCTTTTCTCAATTCCTTGATAAACTATTTTCTTAATTTATACTCTATATGTTATATCGTATATATTAGAATGAAGTCAACCATAAATATGATAAATAAACTTGCCCTTTTATTTAATTAAGTAATGAATGTTGTTGCTAGTATGATCTCAAACATCATCTATATGATTGGTCTTAGAACATACTATTAACAATATTAAATTTATTTTGCATCAAGCGACTTTTAAATCCAAACTTTAAATGACAATTTACAAATAAATAAACAAGAAAAATAATTTAGCCATACCAATTTGAGCATAGGATTAAAGGTAATTTTTCATTACCATTTACTGGTTTGCAATTTATTCACTAGAATTATTCAATAACTCATGATTAATGACATTTTTAGTAGAAATATGAAAATTGACTTTCCTGTAGTAACAAATTAGTTTGGATCATAAAATACAAAAATTAGTTTTTACATTATAAAAATTAGTTTTTGATAATGTCACAATGCTCCCTTATTTCTTCATTTATTATATGATAGAATGACTATAAATACAATTTTTTTCTGAAAAATAATAGCTTGACATGATTGGGAATACCATAACAAAACGAGTTGTAAATTAATGGATCCTCGCTTTTGATAAAGTCATATTAGTAACCCGATTATTCAAAAATTTCACTTGTTTTTTTTTTTTTTTCTTTTTATTCATCAAACTCAATCAAAGCAAATATCTTTTAGCATCCTCAAGAGATCAAAGAAGAAGAGGTCAGGTGGTCAGACAAATACAAGGCTGGCTTTTTGGCCGAACAGGCACAAAAAAGAGGGTTAGAGAGCTAAGTGATGAGCATAAATACACACAATACGTCATTAATTAAACACATGTAACAACATTAAGCAGTGTGTGCTTGTTGAGTCAACACCCTGGTGGCAATGTTACTTGGGGTTCCTACACGTCCATACTTGTTGCATAAGCATCAACACCCTGGTCATGATGAGTAG